GGAGGCACGGCGTAGTGGAACTCAAACAGTTGTGAAGTTTATTGAACAACTATATGGTGTTAAAGTTTTTCGAAAATCATTAATTCAGAATGAACTTGGAGAAACCCAGCTTGACACAGGTCTAGCTACTTACTGAAATATGTGCACAATAGAACATAAGCAAATACCACCTAAAAAACCAGTTGATAAGAAACGTCATATAAACCAAGGACGCCTTTGTGTTCTTCTTGGTCTAGTTAAACAAATTCCTGGACAGCAAAGCTATATTTTAGTTGAAAAACAAAACAAGAAGTTCTATTCACCATATAACTTTTATCCAGTTAAAATGTCAACGAAAATATCAGAACAAATTAATGAAATGATTCTTGAATTGATAAATAGAGATAATCTTAGTGTACTATCAATGCATTATCTTGTTAATGTAACATCAGGTGAATGCACATGCTATGACTATATCTGGAATGGCTCTTTTCGAGATATTTGCAAGTATGTACATGCTGCGCGATTGCATATGAAATTATTAAGTAGAAAATTACAAAATTTAGAAATAAAAGAAAGTCTTGTAAAACACTTTAAGAATAAAGAACACACAATTGCATCAGAAAAAAAGAATTATATTATTCATAATGGAACAAGCGAAGATGCTTATCAAGAAATTTTGAGGCTTTTTAGTTGTAGGGGTAATGATATTTTCTTTCCAACAGAACGTAGAACAACAATAAAAGATCCTTTCTGTCTAATAGAAGACATACAAGTTCCTACAACAATTGGATCGTTTAAAAACCATGGTGCAAAACCTCGCAAACCTAATCAATTTTTTAATCCTAATGATTCACGATTCAATGAAGCAAAAAAAATTTATATAGATGATATTAATCAAGAACATGATATTTTTGAGAATTTAGTGCTTTCAGAAATTTCTACAAGTCAGAATAAAAATGCTATAGAACCTTATTCAATTCGTAGATATAATACAACAAGAATTATTCAATTTAATATTTTTATTTTATTTAATGAATAAGGCTATTAATTTATTTTCAATTGTAGATGTCAAGTAACGAACAAAAATCAAGTAATAAACAAGAATCAAGTGACGAACAAGAAAATAATAATGTTTCTATAAAAAATTCACTTGAAAAACTTTTTCTTGAAAAGTATGTGATTGGAAACCAAAAGATTTTACAAGTATAGTGGTATCAAAAAAACTGCGCCTAGATAATAATCTAGTTGATAATTATATAGGTGAATTAGTAATAGAAAAATCCAGGAAAAAAATGCACAGAAAAACAATTCTAATTAGTATTCGATAATTTTTTTTTTTTAGCATTTAATGCTTTTTTTTTTTTTTTATATAACCATTTAAATTTTTGAATAGTCTTTGATAATACGCATATATATTCGAAGTATATAGATCTTGCATAGTTTTAACGTATATATGCAAATATATTTTATTGCAAAGCTAATACATATAAATTCTAATACATACGTATTAGATAATGCCAAAGTATTAAAGCTATAAAAATACCAGGAAAACTCTATTATATATTCCTGCCACAAATATTACTATAAATTTGAAAAATGTGACAACTTATCATAGCTTGAATTATTATAAAGTCTTAAGAAGTTTTCAACTTTATATAATTCACAGAAAAAAGGTTTACCAACCGGGAGTAAATTCGCATATACTGTATATACGTAGAATATAAAAAGTTATCGCTATTTGGATTTGAATTGTTATTAAACAAGCACAAATCTGAAATATTCCAGATAAAAAATCGATGAATGTAAAATATAAAAAAGGTCAGAACAAAAATTTATAGCTACACCACACTTTAGCTTACAATGCAATCATTTTTCGTGGGATAAGTTCAACATGATAAAAGCTTAAATATCACTAACATAATTTGCATTACTATTAATTTCTTGGAAATAATTGTAAAACTGATTCACTTAATTATAGTGGGAACCTATAATAGAGTTTTCCCGGTCCTAATTAAATACGTAGTAAGCAAATCTAAATAATTTGCAAACTATAACGATAAATGTAAAGCCGCAATTAGATATTATTGTTATATGTATAACAAAGTAATTAGACGATCACATGCAATGTGAATTGCAGAGACAGCCCTATCAAGAAAATTAGGCCCTATCAAGAACGGTATGCAAATCGATTTTTTTTTTTTACCCATCAAAAACAGTACTGCAGATCCATCAAGAATGGTATTTTTGCACTTTTGTGTCTTAAGTAAAAAATAATTCTAATATTATTTTAAATTGATTTATATAAAAAAACTTTTGAAAAAATTGTTAATTTTGTCTTTTTTTGCAGCATCTAGCCTATATGTATTTTTAAATTCTGAACAACTTTTATTAAGTAACAAATATATATTTAGTACAATTTTAACTTTTATATATAACAACTATTGAAATTTTTAAAAAATTCAGGAGTAGCTTATTTTTGAATAAGAAAAGTTTCTTAGTTTTTTGCTTAAAAAAGAGATGGTAGCTTATTTTAAAAATATATAGTAATTAATTTTTATCAAACTAAAAAATTAATCTTTTTAAGATTAGAGTAAAAGTAAGAGTTAGAAGTAAAAGATTAGATTAGAGCTTTATATATAGTAAAATTTAGCAAGAAATTTTTTTTATTAGAACTTAAAAGGTGGATTTATAGACAAATTTTGAGATATAAGTATTTTTTAAAAAAATTCTTTGTTTTTGTTATACAAAATCGATTTACACATTACATCTGATTCTGAATTTTAATTGGCAAAATAACTACAGATAATTATCACCTGTAGTGTAAATTAGCAATTTCCAAAATAAAATAAAAAATAAAAAAATAAAAAATATATAGTAAAATAAAAAATAAATTTAAAAAACAATTTAAATTAAAAAATATATAAAAAAACAACTAAAAAAAATTAAATTAAAATATATAAAAAATAAAAAGATTTTATAATTTACTGCATAGTGCAATATATTGCACCTTTATAATAATTAGAGTTAGTGTGTATTCAAATAATAATTAGGGTTGGATTAGTATTAGTGTTAGAGTTAGTGTTAGTGTTTGGGTTATTAACCATAGCTGCTGCAACAAATTTGGACTAGCAGATCCTTGATTTTGATTGGCTAAGAGTGATGATAAAAAGATTAAGCTGGAATTACTCATAATTTTACTAATAAAATCATAGCCGCCTATTAAATGAAAATTGTTCCTGGGCCAATTTTACTATAATGTGGGCTTATTTTTAAGAATTTTTATTTTTGTAATAAAAAAATTAAAAAGTTAATTCTGGCCGAAAATTAGTAACCAATTTTGTAATGCGGGCCAAATTTCAAAGATCCTTGACCGTTAGCCAATCAAAATCGAGGATCTGCCGGTCCAAATTTGTTAAAATCACGAGAAGATCATTTTTGTTAATTACACAACAGGTGTTATTGATCTGGAGTGTAGTGACAGATCAGTTAATTTTTATGTCTTAAGTGATACAAAGATTACATTTTTGATGCATTTCACCCCCAAAAAGTTGCTTTTTTGATGCATTTGCATAAGCATTATGAAGATCATATCAGAAACGTAATCAAATTTGTTAAATTAGTGTAACAAAATATGCATATTCACGCGTTTGTGTAACGAGATGATCATCATATGATATGCTCCGGATCTAACAATGCTACGCATTTTCCTAGTCCTAGTGAAATTTTAAGATATAGTAGGGGTGCAATACATTGCAGGTGCAATAAAAAATAAAACCCAAAATAAAATAGAAAATAAAATAATTAATTTAATAATATATAAAAAAATTATTTAAAAACATAAAAAAAAAAGACAATTACTATTTGTATACCCGTGTATGAAACACGGGTATATTGATAACCAAAATTTTGCCTATAAAATCACTTTTCAAGTTCTAAAAATTTTAGTATAAACTACTCCTAACCCTAACCTCTAACCTAACCTTATCTTAACTTTAATTCAATTTAATTTTTTCTTTAAATTTTGTATTAAAATTTTGAATTTATTTAATATTCACCGGTATGAAATTCACCATCCTAAGAGTTTTTAGGGTTAGGGTGCAATTTTAGGATAAAAGAGGTGTTTTATTAAATAATGTAGATTAGAAATAAAGTCTCGATTTCAGTTTTCGTGAGGTTTTCAGGGTCCTGAGACTCCCTGACTTTACTTAGTACGTTTTTTGAGATACAGCACCCCCGGTGAATTTCACCTCTGGTGAGCGTTAAAATTGTCCAATCTAGTTTAAACATAAATTCACATGAGAATACCGTATTTTATGGGCTAAACCACCCTCCCCTGTAAAATATTTACCAGCTTTTATCTAGATATTTTTAATATTAATAGTCATTTATTGTTATCTATATGGTATTAGCATAAGTTTTACTATGATATAAGTACAAAATATGCACTAATATAATATTCAAACGCCGACGTATAAAGCTGTAAAATTGCACAGAGGGAGGTGGTTTAGCCCATAAAATACGGTAGCAAGATTCACAAAAAAAAAATTTTTTATTCGAATACCCAAAAACCTGAAACCCCGATTAATTTAGAACATTGAAACAATTATGCGAGTGCATATGTAAATCGGAATCAATTATTGGGTTTTCGGGTTTTCACATAAAAAATTTTTTTTGTAAATCCCACTATTCTCAACCATTTCGAAAACAGAGATAATAAAGTTAGTACCTATCAAAGCATTCGTCTTTAAAAAAGAAAATTCTTAGTAATTTGAAATAATCTAACTTTATTTAACCGAATTTCGAATGTCATAACACATAACATATCGATATGATACTTTAGAATTTGATAATTTTAGTAAAAGCTCAAGCAAACAATAATTTTTATTAACAAAAATTTTTTTAACAATTTCTATTAACCAACAACATTTTTTATTTATTAAGCCAGAGGCACATACATTCTATTAATTCTATTAGGGGACAATTAAGATTAATTGTTTAAATTACATTTAAAGAGAATGTTATTTAGTTTTACTCGGAGCAAATCCAACAGAAAGTCTTTTTACGTCGAATACAGAGTAAACATTTCTTAAAAACACATCACCAACAAGCCAAGTATTAGCTCCGCCAATATTCCCAGCAGCAATTCCGGAAGCACAAAGATTATTTTTGCCAGTAGGTTGAAATGCTAAATCTCTTGGATCAATATTATAACTAACACCACCAAAGGTAAATGCTACCTTAGCTTTTGTATCACAAGGTACAACAAATTGATTATCCATTCTAGTAGCACCTGGAATTTGTTTATGAATCTCTTCAGCATCTTCTAATGGCATGATTACAAGAGTAGTTCCAGTATCTATTATAGCACTTCTTCCTTCAAAGCAAAGATCCTTATTATTAACAGAAGCGCCATCCAAATTAATTTCCCAAAAACCTTTATTATTAATTAATTTATTGGAAGTAATTTCACCAACAAATTTACTTTTATCAACGCCCCCAAGAGTTAAGGTACCTATGTCACCTTTATCCAAAGTACGTTGAAGATGAAAACCAAAGAAAGAATTTTCAACAGATCCTTGAGAAACCATATTTGAAAAAGGAGTAGCAGCTTTTTGGCTACTAAGTTGATTTAGAGCCATGCCCAAAATACCATCATATGGGACATTGACAAAGTCCGAACTTTCATCGAGAGTAAGACCGAATACCTGACCTTTAGATTCTATCCCGCCTATTATAAGATTGTCTTGCGCGCTAATGCCTTTAACATTACCAGTACCGTATTGAATCTGGAAAGGTTTATTGCTAGGCTTAAATGTTTCTGATTTTTTAGGATCAAACGGTTTATGTTTACGACAAGCAGCCGCTTTACAACGAGCAGAAGGAACCTAATTTTATATATGAAAAATATGAAAAAGAAAATTTTTTATTATTAAAATAATGAAAAAAAAATTATTAAATAAAAAGATAAATAAATAAATAAATTAAAATATAAATATAAATAAATATATTTATATGTACTAACCCAAAGATCGGAGCTTCCTGTATCAAAGATTACATTAAACGTTTGACAACCTAAATCGATTGGGCCGAAATAACCGATATCTGAATTTCCTGCAGTTTCTGCGGTGAGATCAATTTCACCATCACCCGCTTTACCTTGTTTAGCTAATTCTAGCTTCTTTAAAACAGCTTTATCAGAAGCATAAGCAGATTCAACTAATTTTTGGTATTTAACTAATGCGCGAACTTTATGTATTTCACGAACTCTTAACCAAGTTGAATCTTTATTGGTATGTTTTACAAGTGAGATAACGGTGGGTTTTGAGGTAATAGGAGCGGCATCGATGATTGCAAGCGCAAGAAAAAATAAAGTAATAAGAGTAAAAAACTTCATTTTTTTACAATTATATATTATTAAATTATTATTAGGGAATTTTGGATAGAAAAAGGGAGAAGATACCAGTCTTTGCTCAAAGATAACAAGGGACGAAAATTAGATTAATAATTTAAGGACTAAGTCCGCTTGTATCAATAGTAATATGAAAGTGTGATGGTGGGCTCTCGAGCAACCAGTTGCTAAAGAATTCAAGAAAGTACCGGTAGAGTATTTATATACGTGATGATGAAGACGATCATCAGAGTCAGATAACGAACGGTTTTCTTAAACCTTTGTTGACTTTATTAGGCACTTGTCGATATTGTAGATTAAATGCAGTACATTATACGTATTTATTAATAAATTTACAAAGATATACATTGTTCGAAGAAAAAAATGAACTTTGTTTTGATGAAACGTAATTAAATTTGTGCCCATTTTTTTAGCAAGAACAATATAAGTTTAGAAAACTTTTTTGAGCATACAAAAGTGTGACACATAAAATCCCCTATAGTCCTTTCTTAGTAACACACATACCAATTCTTAAGAGATAAACAAATAGCATGTCATCATATGATACGTATTATTAACATGTTAGTGAAGGTTTATTATTTTTCCTGACAGTTTTCTAATACATTAACGTTAAATCAGGTCGACGCTAATACATATTCGACTCTGTCCAGTAATTCTGGGCTTTATTTGAGCCCGAACTAAAATAAAAATAACGCGCTCTGTACATTACTATTCCAGTCCTTTCAGGCTGGTTCCGGGTTTACGGTTTCAGGTCTTATTTTCGATTCAATTCTTTCTAAAAAATAAAAAACCCCGCTCGTGCAGTACACTAAGTCTAGCGTGTCAGAAATTAGAACTAACGTTAAGCTTATTAGGTTGATTATAAAATGTTTGAGCTTTATGGCTAAGGTAGAGAACCAATTTTTTTGTTCATACTAATAATGAATGTTAGAGAATATAAAGATGTTTGATGTTCAAGCTTTAATTTTAACTTTTTCTAGTTTATCAAGGGATTTTTCATAGTATTTCAATTTCTTTATAGTATTATTAATAGCTCGGAACTTGGCTCTGTGTATGATTGTCCTGTACGTACGGACGTTTTAGGGTTTTAATCCGTATACGTATCTTGAAAGATTACAATATGAAAGATATGGTTGAATATAACTTATAAGTTATATGTAAAATTCATTAACGTTAACAATTGACAATTGTTACGTATCGTTATTGTTACGTATAATTTACAAAACTACCATTTTAGTTAATGAATACCAAATTTGTTATGTATGTACGTATGTTGAGTAACAAAGTCCTACGTATTAAGTGTAACATTATTTTAATAACGAACACAAAAAATAACGATAACCTGTAAATTGACTGGTCTAAAAATTATCATTATATGCACTGTCAATCTTTATTGAATCTTTTTCCACGCTTTGTTTAATTATATTATTTTTCTACCATTTTTATATGCTTGTACATACAAAATAGACATTTCATTATCTTTTGCATGGTATAATTTTAATTTTTCCCAATGATATAGTGATCATATTATCAATGTTTGAAATGGAAAATTCGAATGAATTTCGTATTTAAAAGCATTGTATGTATGTCGAAGAATTTACCAATTATGTTGCATGGTACTGTATATTATATAGGTAATTATTTTTGATCATGTCTTTCAGAATTCTGCGGTGCATAATTCTGCTCGCTCTAAAAATATTTTTTTATTTGGTTTTAAAAAATGATTAAAGTCACGTTTATCTTACAGAGACAATACAAAAAGATATTTTTAGAGCGAGCAGAATTATGCACCGTAGAATTCTGGACACTCTACTTCGGAGTCTCTAATCACATTACCTTTACTAATTGCAAATCATGAATGCTGCAAGATAAAGCCTATAAAATATGAATTTTATTTTAAATAAACTATAAAATAAGTGATTTTTTTTCTAAATTATCTATCTAATACTAAAGAAGTAATCCGCAGTTAAATGGTCAAGTTTTTATAGTTAAAATACGGCATAGTTTTACTTTCGGTTTCATATAGAAGTGGAATGCCGAGAGTTTTTGCTATTACTGTATTAAGAAAAATCATATATCGTGATCTACTGTACCAACCCGATTTTGCTACCATTAGAATCCTCTCAATGAACTCTATAATTTTAATTGGAAGTTCAAAAAAAAAAACCCCCCTCCTTTATATGTAAAACAGACATTTCTGTACCATAGAAAACTATAAATTTCCAATTTAATATTATAAAATTTATCTGATAATACACTGGCAATCATAAGTAGTGCAACAAAAAAAAAATTTCACTTACATCATACTACCTCCCGCAATTCCGG